AAAAATAAATAAATCAATATCATGTGATGGTGCCACATCAACTTAATTCAAAGTCCAATGTTCAAATCCAAATCAATATGCTCCAAGTGATGTTTATATACATGCAGTGTGTCTTTATATATATAGCGCCACTCGTGTAAAAAACACTCCTTTCCACTTCGGCTGCAATGCCTGCTCACCTCCTTCCAGCGATCCCTAGGGGCCTGCAAGCCTTTAGGATCACCCTGGATCCTCAAGAATCCTGGTTTGGTACCTCTCTGATACTCCTCCTATTTGGCCTCCTCCACACCTTCACCTCTGTGCCTCATAGGATCCTCACCAGCGACTCTCTGCAAACTCTCTCTCACATATTAGTGAGTCAAAAAAGATAGATCCTCCATAGTGTAGTATTTCCAATATGCCAGAGTTTAATTAAGAAATAGCAAAAAGTAACTCACATTTGTTTGTACAGCAAATTTTCTGTCCCCTATATGGGCAAACTGCACACATGTGTTTTGCTTCCTGATAACCAGGAAAATGGCGTCCCGCACCGGAAGTGCGTCACTTCGGATACCGGAAGTTGCATCTTAGCGTGCCTACGCGTTACGTCACGTGGTCTCATGACTTCCCCGAAGATGGTGTGGAGGAGGCCAAATAGGAGGAGTATCAGAGAGGTACCAAACCAGGATTCTTGAGGATCCAGGGTGATCCTAAAGGCTTGCAGGCCCCTAGGGGTCGCTGGAAGGTGGTGAGCAGGCATTGCAGCCGAAGTGGAAAGGAGTGTTTTTACACGAGTGGCGCTATATATATAAAAGACACACTGCATGTATATAAACATCACTTGGAGCATATTGATTTGGATTTGAACATTGGACTTTGAATTAAGTTGATGTGGCACCATCACATGATATTGATTTATTTATTTTTTGAAGTGGCACTATCACAAAATGTATGTATAATTAATGAAATATGAGTTAATATTGATTGATGGGATATAGGAATATATGTGTATGTAGTAAGTGGCATGCAAGAGCACTGAGAGGATTATAGCACTAATCACAGAGTGTATGCATTATATATGATTTTTATCACATAAATAGTATATTGTTTTTTGGTTTAATGAATGTTTAGCGCTACACTAATTTAAATATATATTTAAGCACTGTTTTGGGTACCAGTTTAAGTGTTTGCAGCTAACAAATTAGGAGGGGGAGGTCCATAGAAGCGCAGGAGGACTTAGAATAAGAATCAACTGCAGACTATACTACCTCCACCTATTTGAGGTGGGAAAAAGCACTACAGATTATACTATCTATTGACCAGATGAGAGGGCTCTTCGGAATATACCATCTTTCGCTGTTCGCAAGGGGAGAGATCTCTGCAGACTATACCCTTGCTTTATTTGCGGGGGCAGAGGATTCTTCGGACTATGCCATTCTTTTTCTATTTGCAGGGTAATACCATTTTCTTTTTTTTCTGGGGGGAAGGGATCTGTTGACTATACCATTTTCCTCTATTCACAGGGGAAGAGATGTCTGCTATCTATATCATCTATCGATATTCATGAACAGAGAGGGCTCTGGGTAATTCTATCATCATCTTTTTGCAAGGGGATAGGACACTGCGGACTGTATCATCCTCCTCTCTTTGCAGGGGGGCAGGGGAGAGGGCTCTGTGGGCTATACCTTCTTCTTCTATTAGTGTGGGGAGAGGGCTCTTCGGAGTATACCATCTTCATCTATTTGCGGGGGGAAGGACTCTGTGGAATATACAATATTTCTCCATTTTGGGAGGAGAGGGCACTGCAGACTATACTACCTCCACCTATTTGAGGTGGGAAAAGCTCTACAGATTATACTATCTATTCACCAGGTGAGAGGGCTCTTCAGAATATACCATCTTTCTCTGTTCTCAAGGAGAGAGATCTCTGCGGACTATACCATTTTCCTTTATTTGCGGGGGGAGAGGATTCTGCGGACTATACCATCTTCTTCTATTTGCAGGGTGAGAGGGCTCTGTAGCCCATACCATCTTCATCTACTTGCGGGGTGGGGGGGAGAGAGCTCTGCAGTTTATACCATCTGTTCACCAGGTTAGGTGAGGGGTCTTTGGAATATACCATTTTTTTTCTGTTCACGAGGGGAGACATCTCTGCAGATTATACAGTTTTAATTTATTTGCAGGGGGGAGGGAGAGATCTCTGCAGACTACACCATTTTCCTTCATTGATGCAGGGACAAGGCTTTGCAGACTATACCATATTCATCTATTTGCAGGGGAGAGGGTCCCTGGACAATACCATCTTCATCTATTTTGGAGCGGGAAGAGGTAACTGCAGACTATACCATCTTCATCTGTTTGTGGGGGGAAGAGAGTTCTGTGGACTATACCATCTTCATGTTTGCGGGGGGAGAGAGCTCTGCAGAATATATCGGCCACATCTATTTGCAGGGTGAGAGGGCTCTGTACACTATACCATCTTCATCTATTTGCGGGGGGAGAGGGTCTCTGGACAATACCATCATCATCTATTTCGGGGGGGGGGAGAACTAACTGCAGACTATACCATCTTCATGTTTGCAGGGGGGAGAGGGTCCTTTGGACTATACTATCTTCTATTTACATGGTGAGAGGGCTGTTTGGATTATACCAACTTCCTCCATTTTGGTTGGAGAGGGCTCTGCGGACTATACCATCTTCTTCTATTTACAGGGGGAGAGGGTTTTGTGGATTATACCTTCGTTATTTATTTCGGGGGGAGAGTGTACTGCAGACAATAACATCTTCATCTATTTGTGGGGGTAGAGCACTCTGCAGATTATACCATCTATTCACCAGATGAGAGGACTCTTTTCAGAATATACCATCTTTCTATGTTTGAAAGTGAAGCGGACTATACTATTTTCCCATTATTTGCAGGGGGAGAGGGCTCTTCGGACTATACCATCTTCATCTATTTTCGGGGGGGAGGACTCTGTGGAATATACAATATTCCTCCATTTTGGGAGGAGAGGGCACTGCAGACTATACTGCCTCTACCTATTTGAGGTGGGAAAAGCTCTACAGATTATACCATCTTCATCTATTTTGGAGCGGGAAGAGGTAACTGCAGACTATACCATCTTCATCTGTTTGCGGGGGGGAGAGTTCTGTGGACTATACCATCTTCATCTGTTTGCGGGGGGGAGAGAGCTCTGCGGAATATACCGGCCACATCTATTTGCAGGGTGAGAGGGCTCTGTAGACTATACCATCTTCATCTATTAGAGGGGTGAGAGGGCTCTGCAGACTATACCATCTACCTCTGTTCTCGAGGGGAGAGGGTACTGCAGACTATTCCATCTTCATCTATTCGCAAGGAGAGAGTGCTCATTCTTCTATTTGCAGGGTGAGAAGGCTCTTCAGACTATATCATCTTCATCTATTTGCGGGTGGAGAGATTTCTATAGACTATACCATCTTCATCTATTTGCAAGGAGACAGTGCTCTCAGAATATACTATCCTTCTCTGTTCGCAAGGGGAGAGATCTCTGCAGACTATTCCATTTTCTTTTAAGGGGGAGAGGGCTTTGCACTGTGGACTATACCATCTTCCTCTATTAGCAAGGAGAGAGAGGACTCTGAGGACTTTTTCATCTTTATGTATTAGTAAGGGGAGAGGGAACTGCAGACTATACCATTCTTGTATTTGCAGTGAGAGAGGGCTCTGCAGACTTTACCACCTTCATCTTTTTGCGGGGGAGAGAGCTGTGCTATTTATACCATCTATTCAGCAGGTGAGCGGGTTCTTTGGAATATACTATGTTTTTTCGTTTACAAGGGAGAGATCTCTGCGGACTATACCATTTTCATTTATTTGTTAGGGGAAGGGATTTGTGGACATTTTCCTCTTTTCACAGGGGGAGAGATTTCTGCAGTCTATATCATCTACCTTTATTCACAGACGGAGAGGGCTCTGGGGAATTTTATCATCTTTTTGCAGGGGATAGGGCTCTGCGGACTATACCATCATCCACTCTGCAGGGGTAGGGCTATGTGGGCTATACCATCTTCATCTATTTCTGGGGGAAAGAGATCTGCAGATTATAGCATCTATTCAGCAGGAATATTCCATCTTTCTCTGTTCGCAAGGGTAGAGATCTCTGCAGACTATACCATTTTCCTTTATTTTCAGGTGGAGAGAGGTCTATACCATCTTCTTCTATTTGCAGGGTGAGAGGGCTCTGCAGAGCATACCATCTTCATCTTTTTGTGGGGGGAGAGAGCTCTGCAGTTTATATCATCTATTTACCAGGGAAGAGGGCTCTTCGGAATATACCATGTTTTTTCTGCTGGTGAGGGGAGAGATCCATGTGGACTATACCATCTTTCTCTAATTGCGGAGTAGGGCGTTCTGTGGACTATACCATTGTTCTCTATTTGTGGGAGAGCAATGTGGACCATACCATCTTCCTCTATTTGAGGGGATAAGGGCTCTGTGGACTATACCATCTTTCACTATTAGCGGGGGGGTACTATCTTCCTCTATTCATTGGGGTGGTCTGTGGATTATATAATTTTCTTCTATTTGCGAGGTTAGAAGGTTGTGTGGAATATACCATCTTCCTCTATCCACGGGGAGAAAAGATCTTTGTGTAGTATACCAGCCTCCTGTATTTGCGGTGTGTGAGCTCTGCGGACTATACCATCGTTATGAATTCTCGGGGGGGTAAGGGTTGTGCGGATTTATACTGTTTTTGGGAGGAGAAGGCTGTGCGTCCAAGAGTCTCCGCCTCCATCCCCGGGGTCAGAGGTTCTGCGAAAGATACCATCTCCCTGCATTTCCGGCGGTTGAGGGTTTTGTGGATGATACCATTTTCTTCCTAGTTTGGGGGAAGGGCTGGACTATACCACATAGCAGGGGATAGTAGCAGAGAAGGAATTCTTCGTCCTTATCTCAGCTCACGAGTCCCCTCTCCGGTCCCCCCCTTCTTCCTCACTGGTTGGATCTTCCCGGGCCGAGGTCCGTGCAGTGTGTCAGGATGAGCCGGATCTATGACGATAGAGCTCTGCAGAACAAGCCCGTGCACGATGAGCGGGTGTCGGGCTGCTGGGATCCGGCCGTGTTCCAGCGGTACGATGGGGAGGGGAGGCCGGGGCTGGGGTGTGACCTCTGGGGTGGGGGATGGATCTAGACAGGACCCCTCACATCGCACAGCATGACACCTGACGCTGGAAGGCGGAGTCTAGGTTCGGAAAGATCTCAGTCTCTGTATATAGGAGTGTTCCCACACTGATCCCTACAAATGTGGATGTATTATTAGTATGGGGCATTGGAGCCTGCAGAGCATTGCGCCCGGGGGAGGGGTGCAATGATCTGACTGCAGGCTATTCCTCCAGGCCTGTACAGAGGTGTCGCCATTCTGTTCTCTGTCTTGTGACCTAATACTTCAACTGCTTCCCCCCGGGCAATCAGGAGTTCTATTGTTCTGGGTGGACATCCTATGACGTCTTACCCAGGACGGGCCACGTTCCTGCGCAATCTGTGGACACAGCCAATGGCAGATCACTGTACCGGCCGCTGCTGATACCATGTGACCAATAACAGATCACATGACAATTGTAAAGAAGGAATGGCTTCAATTCATGCCAATTATTGTGTACAATTGTGTTGCTAGCTGTAATTGGTCACAGTGATCACGTGGTACAGACAGGGTCAATCACAGCCCATCTGTACCATGTGGTTAGCTGTGGCCAATCACACCTAACCGCGACAATACACACTGAATGAATCAATTTCATTCAGTACAAATGCTTGCTTATGGCAGTGAAATTCACTGCTATAAGCAATAATGGTGTGTAAAAAAAAATCCTGATCATTTCCTCAGAGAGTAGTACACTGTTACTATGGTAACACTATTGCTCACAGTATGTAAAAAAGGAACAAAAATTATATGGGGCAGCACAGTGGCTAAATGGTTGGCACTTCTGCCTGGCAGTACTAGGGTCGTTGGTTCGAATCCCAGCCATGGGAACCACCTGCCTGGAGTTTACATGTTCTCCCTGTGTCTGTGTGGGTTTCCGCCGGGTACTCCGGTTTCCTCCTACACGCCAAAGACAAGTTCAAATCACATGCTATTCTTTGCAGTGCAATTTGAGCCCATTCATTTTGTATGGGCTCAAAATCGCACCTCAAAAGGTGTCAGTTTCAGGTATTGGGAGCATTTGCACTAGTATCGATGCAACCCTAATTCCATTCATATCCAAATGTCTTGTGTAAATAATGTGCAAACCAATAATAATTATTACTGCAATAATCCAAAAACCAATAACAATTACTGCAATAATCCGCTAACCAATAATAATAATTACTGCAATAATCCGCAAACCAATAATAATAATTACTGCAATAATCCGCAAACCAATAATAATTATTACTGCAATAATCCACAAACCAATAATAATTATTACTGCAATAATCCGCAAACCAATAATAATAATTACTGCAATAATCCGCAAACCAATAATAATTATTACTGCAATAATCCACAAACCAATAATAATAATACTGCAATAATCCACAAACCAATAATAATTATTACTGTAATAATCCAAAAACCAATAATAATAATTACTGCAATAATCCGCAAACCAATAATAATAATTACTGCAATAATCCAGAAACCAATAATAATAATTACTGCAATAATCCACAAACCAATAATAATAATTACTGCAATAATCCACAAACCAAATAATAATAATTACTGTAATAATAAACCATTAATAATTATTACTGCAATAATCCACAAACCAATAATAATAATAACTGCAATAATCCAACCAATAATAATAATTACTGCAATAATCCACAAACCATTAATAATTATTACTGCAATAATCCAAAAACCAATAATAATAATTACTGCAATAATCCACAAACCAATAATAATAATTAACTGCAATAATCCACAAACCAATAATAATAATTACTGCAATAATCCGCAAACCATTAATAATTATTACTGCAATAATCCGCAAACCAATAATAATTACTGCAATAATCCACAAACCAATAATAATAATTACTGCAATAATCCGCAAACCATTAATATTTATTACTGCAATAATCCACAAACCAATTAATATATTTATTACTGCAATAATCCACAAACCATTAATATTTATTACTGCAATAATCCACAAACCAATAATATTTATTACTGCAATAATCCACAAACCATTAATAATAATTACTGCAATAAATCCGCAAACCAATAATAATTATTACTGCAATAATCCAAAAACCAATAATAATTGTTACTGCAATAATCCATCATCCGCTGTGGTGCCAATATTCACAAAAAGTGTCCATTGCATAAATCCTTTTTTTTTCACAATAATCTTGTGATCTTCCAGCCATATTTTTTTATCCTCTCAGTGATGTATCTGTGTAGAAAAACCCTCCACTCCACTCAGTGTCTCCTCCCCCAGCAACACAGTCAACTCACTAGAGACTCTGACTGTATGTTAATATGGGCCTTTCTTGCTTTATTGTGAATATCCCAGCAATCTGTCTTTTCCAAGAATCCCATATGCATGAAGTCATTTTAAATTGCACATTAAAATCCTCCAACATTGCACTCACCTTAGTAGATGCCATACCCAGCACAAAGGTATGACAGCGTATCTGGATGTGCAGCGCCAGCTCCACTAAGCTGTCCTACTAGCCGCGAGCAGACACGTCCGTGCAGGATGACGTCACATGTCCAAGTCCCTGATGGTTATTGTATTTTGCAAACCTCTTTAATGATATATTTACATTTTTTACAGGTATAAATTACATGAACACTGTACGGGTATCTTACGCTAACACTGATTGTCTGGATTTTCTCCTTAGTGGACAAGGTGTTCTTCTGGAAGGAACGTTGGTGGATTTCTCTCGCCATGCTGTTACAGATGCTAAGGGAAAGAAGGTGAGGAGTAATGCCATTAAATCTGCTTAAAGGGTTAGTTCACCTTTTCAATAAGAATGAAAACTAACATCCTATTAGATTGTAAGTAGTGGAGAACCGAAATGAAAATTCTGGTGCTGAAACCTATAACGAAAATTCAAAATGCACTTGGCCGAAAACCGAAATGCATCGTTTTTAAAAATGAATATATGTTTTTTGGAGAAAAAAATATTTTGGTAAAAAAAACATACCCTAATTTTTTTGTAAAATATGAAAGAGGATGTTATGGCGAGTAAATAGATACCCAACTTGTCACACTTTAAAATTACGCACGCTCGTGGAATGGTGTGAAGCTGCCGTACTTAAAAATCTCCATGGGTGATGCTTTAGAAATGTCTACAGGTTAGCAGTGTAAAGTTACAGAGGAGGTCTAGTGCGAGAATTATTGCTCTTGCTCCGATGTTCGTGGCGATTTCTCTCACATGTGGGGTTTGAACACCATTTACATATGTGGGCTTGGCCTACATATGCATTCACCATTACGTACGAGCATGGGGGGATGGGGGCACTTTAAACTTTTTTTTTTATTTTTAATTTATTTAATGTTTTATTGTTTTGTTTTTTGCACTGTCCCTTTAAAAAAAAAAAATTAATCACTTTTATTCTTATCATAAGGATGCATGCATCCCTTGTGATAGACATAATTAGTGACAGGTCCTCGTTATGGAGAGCATGGGGGTCAATAAAACCCCACAGCTCTCCTCTGCAATGTAAAGCATTGATCTAGTGGCCAGAACCGGAAGTGACGTCGCTCCGGTCCTCCAAGGGCATAGAGATTAGTGAAGGCCATCTTTCCTTCCCTAATCTCTATGCCCAGCACCGGGATCGTTCAGTGGTTTCTCAGGTAAGACTGAGAACTACCGAGCGGTGGCCTGGGGTGGGAGCGAGGTGGCGAGGGGTTTTTTTTCGGCACCTGTATCGGTGCTTTTTTCATATCGGCCAACGGCCGAAAGGGGTGTTTTTTTTTTGGCCGAAATGTTTCAGCCACCGAAAATTTCGGTGCATCCCTAATTTGTAAGCTCTTATGAGAAGGGCCCTCCTAACCCTCTTGTATTTTATTGTATTATAACTGTACTGTTTCCCTTTTATATTGTAAAGCGCTGAGCAGAAACAAAAAATTCAGGTTGGCTGCATGTCTAAAACACATTTGTTGTAGAAGCTGCAGTAAAAATGTCCATATCTATAAACAAAGTAACGGGCATTACTAGAACATAGCTGGTGTGTTTTGTGCTATGAATAGGCTTAGAACGCGTCAGTTTTCTACTGATCCCCTCTACTTTGTATTTTAATATGTGATTTTACTGCAGCGGTTACAATAACCACTTGTGGACCAGCGACGTACCCGTATGTCGATGGACTTCAAGGTGATGCCTGCAGCTAAAACCAGCGGTCGGCTCTCTTGTACAAGCAATTGGAGCGGCTAAGTAGCCTCTGGATTGCTTGTACAAGCAGCAGGACTGGACGTCTTCCTAGACCCCCCCCCCCCCCCCCCCACCCGGCCACCTTCTGCGGTTCTCTCATGATCTCCCGTTCAACCGGGGAGACCCGAGCAACCAGCACATCTGCCAGACAGCCTAACCAAGCCGGGATCGGCTTTAATCGGCTCTCCCTTTATAGTAAACTGGAAGCAATGACCTGACATCACTTTTGGTTTACTCGGAAGCTTGGCGCCATTTTTAAAGAAAACTGAAAGCATTAAGAAACACCAATCTTGGTGTTTTCAATGCTTTCAAGTGCAGAGGAGGGTTTTGGGGTCTTATAGACCCCAGATCCCTCCATAAAGAATACCTGTCACATGCCTATTGCTGACACAAGGGATTTTTATATTCCTTGTGACAGCAATAAAACTGATCAAAAAAAAAACTGCGACAGTGTGTAAAAAGTAAAAAAAAATTAAAGCGCCCCTGTGTTCGTGCGCAAAGGCAAATGTACGCTTTGATCCCACGCGTATGCAAGCAGCAATCGTCGCACATGTGGGGTATCGCCATAAACATCAGATCATAATTCTAGCACTAGAACTCATCTGTAAATCTAAAGTGGTAACCTGTAAAGGCTTTTAAAGCGTCTGCTATGAATAGTAAATGTTACGTAGTTTGTTGCCATTGGACGGGCGTGCACAATTATATATATCTATATATATCTTTTATTAAATTTTTTTTTAAATTACAAAAATCAACATTGTATCAAACAATTCGAAAAACACAAATTTCCACGTAAATTAACCTATTCCCTTCCCCTCCCCACCATCATTCCACCATATGATATAACTCCTCCGTCTTATTTATATATTCAACTCTATTTATCCAATCCTTTATTTTTGGGGGCTCTTGGGCCTGCCAGAATTTGGGAATAAGACCTTTGGCCGCACTAATTAGATGATATAATACACTATTTTTATATTGTTCCTACTTCCTTTTCCCATTTCTCTAACTTGGAGCATCAGATCCCTCCAATTCAATAAGGATCTAATAAATCCGGGAGGTGGCATGTTTTTGAACTGTATTTAAACTCAACATTTTTTCAAATGGATACATGTCCTCCAGCATCCTCAGTGGTTGTAGGAGTGCTGCAACAAAATGTCCTAATTGATAGTACCCCAGCCATTCATCTAATGTAGAAAGTAAATCTTTTTTACTCTTTAAAACTTGAAAAGTGTGCAATTTCCCCTCATCTACTATATCCTTTAGACGTGTATTTCTGTCCCTAATCCATTTGCCTGAAATATTATCTTTCCCTGGTTGAAAATACTCCGTTCCTACGAGAGGAATTAATATTGAATTATATTTCCATCCCATTTGCTTGTGCATTGCTTCCCAAACTCTTAATACCTTGCGTGTCAAAGTGCTAGTATTTTTATCCATTATATGAAACTTATGTGGTATCCAAATAATCTTCTCTAATTGTGCCTTTCTTAATATGCTTTCCACTTTTACCAAACATTTCCCTTGTGAATTATGTGTCCAGTCTACAATACGTGATATCACCTAAAAATAGTATTTCCCCCCCCCCCCCCCCCCCCCCCCCCTTTACTATTACACAAAACTTTGTATTTAATTCTTGGTTTCTTATTTGCCCATATAAACCTGAGTATCATTTTTTTATTATCCCAAAGAAAGACCCTGGAATTTGTACTGGGAGCATGTGAAACATACAAGATTTTTGGGTACTATGACCATCTTTACCAAATTTATACGACCTATCCATCCCATTGAGAGTCTCTGCAACTCATCCTTTATTTCATTTATTAGTGGGGTATAGTTTGCCTGTTATAGTTCTTTATTGTGGAAGTTAACTTTATTCCTAAATAACTTAATTCCCTTTCCCTCCATGTGAATGGGAAGTCTTTTTGTAAGGTCTGCTTTTCTATCTTTGAGACATTAATATTCAAGATCTCTGATTTTGAGAGGTTTGTTTTCAGATTTGATAACTCTCCATAATATTTCAATAATCTCATTAAATTAGGCAATGTTAATCTGGGGTTCACAATATAAAACAATATATCATCTGCTTATGCTGTTACTTTATATTCCACTTCGCCTATCTTAATTCCTATTATAGCTACACTCTTTCTTCCTATCACTAGTAATGGTTCCAGGGATATTACAAATAACAAAGGGGAGAGTGAAAATCCCTGCCTTGTACCATTATGCATTTTAAAAAAACCGTGAAAGGGACCCGTTAAACTTTACAGCAGTTGACGGACCATTGTAAAGCCCTTTTATCCTCTTTAACATTTTGTGCCCTAATCCTGAAGCCTATAACGTATCTATCATAAATCCCCAGTCTACCCTGTCAAAAGCTTTTTCAGCATCAATCAACATGATTGTCGGCAACTTCTCTGTCCTTGCATTTTGTAGAAGGAGTAATGATCTCTGATCATTGTCCCTCCCTTCTCTTCCAGGAATGAATCTCACTTGATCCAAGTGTATCCACTCCTGCATCAGCTCTTTCATCCTAGTTGCTAGTACTTTTAGCGTATAGTATGGTGTCTATATTTATCAGTGATATAGGTCTGTAACTAGTGCATGGTGAACTATCTTTCCCTTCTTTAAGTATAATTGTTATATATGCTTGCAATGATTCTTCTCTCATTCCCATTCCCTCTCCTAATGTGTTCATATATGTGCATATTTTAGGAACCAATAATTTCTTTAAATTTCTTATAATAACCCACAGTATATCCGTCAGGGCCTGGACTCTTTCCTGCTGTCCATACTCTTCAATGCCAAAATAATTTTCTCCTGGGATATAGCTCTCTCTATATTCTTGGCAAACCAACCTCATTTAATTATTACTGCCTTTTTCCCTTCTTTTCATCCTCTGATTCTTTCTGGTTCCTAGAATTTACATCATACAACCTGCTATAATATTTTTGAAGCAAATTATCGATGTCAGTGGTGGAGTACACCATTTCTCCTCTTTCATCTTTAATTTTTTTCTATAAAATTCTTTGATTTCTTTTCACTTAATCTTTTTTATTAAATATTTTCCTGGTCTATTCCCCCACTGATATCTTTCCTTTGAGACCCTATTAAAGATCCTCCTTGTTTCCTGTTCCATTAGATCTTTTAGCTCTTCTCTTTTGAGAGTTATCATCTGATGTGTGTCTAAATACAGTTTCTTTTTATGTAACTGTTCTAATTTATGTAACTCCTCCATCACAAGCCTTATTTTTTTCTGCCGGTCTTTTTTTTTTTTTTCCGCCCCTTTCAAAATTAGGATTCCCCTGATATATGCCTTATGTGCCTCCCATATTGTAGCAACAGATACCCCCTCAGTCTTGTTAGATACAAAAAATGGCTCTATTTTCCTTCCTTAACCTTTTCTCTATTTCAGGGTCTTTTATAAGCATCTCATTTAATCTCCACATAGTTATATTATTCCGCTCCCCTCCTACCCTTAGTCTCATTGTGACAGGTGCATGATCAGATATAGACATAACTTCTATGTTAGATTTAACC